GCCAAACACTAACATATGTGTAAGCGCCAATCTATTATTATTATTAATAGGATAGAAAATATTAGATATGTATGTACGAAAATATTCTCGTTATCAATATATTTACTTAGTAGTATGTGAATACATTTTACGAAAATTGTCTGATACCAACACTAAGGGCCAATTTCACAATGCGTAGTTAACTCAGAATCGGCAGTTAACTACAGATTTTTGTACTGAAAATCTCTAGTTAACTGCCGATTCTGAGTTAACTACGCATTGTGAAATTGGCCCTTAATGTTAAAAACAGGAAGCACATTAAAAGGGTTAGCATTAAATTCCGCGGAAAAAGTTTCAAACAATTCACCTGACTTCTTTTCCACCTGTGCAGTGAAAATGCACTTACTATGTCAGCTGCTAGTTCTTTATCGGTACAATATACACACATATCCATATGTACATAATTGTGTATACATACATACATATAAAGGTTTGCAAGTGTAGATGATTTGGGAAATTCTTGTAGGAAGAAATGCGCCTGCGCTTAGAGAGTTGACGGGAAATATAAAAAAGTGAATGACTAAGAGACCTGACGAATGGTATTGCTGTATATGAAAGCACCCTACTTAATGTGTTCAGAATTAGTTTGCACTCAACTGAAATATTTAAAAACTTATTTTATAATACATATTTGGTACCGAGGATTGCCAAGGTTAATACATATTTACATTTCCAAAATATTTTTTTTTAATATTTACTAAATACTCGTATCTATATTTTGAGTTGAAGGGGACTGAAAAATTCTAATATAAACGACTTCAACTTACTTGCAACTACTGCTGTATTTACCTTTTCATATTTCTGAAGAGATCAGTTTACATTAAAATAAGTAGTTTCGGTACTTATGGGCGAAACATCCTACCTCTAGAACCAGCATAACTAAAAAATATGATAAAATTATGAAAAAAATTAAATTTGGTACCTGTTATATTGTTAGATGACCACTCTCATCCGATTCAATGAAAACTTTTGAAATTATATCAAATATTTGATAGACAAACTAAAATTCGTTTCGTTTCAAATCAGGATTTGACTTTTGCGCAATATTACATATTTATAGGCGCTCTACTTCTATAAATTCACGGTGAAAATATTTCAGTTTCTATATACATATGTTCTTATATACTGAGATTCTTCGACATTTCGATTTCATTTGTAAAAAATTTTACTCTCATATACTCTTACATCCTATAAATTTACAAATTATATTTAAAACTAGTGACAAGTATTTAATTTGGTAAAAAAGAGAGATAAAACTGACAAACCGAGTTAAAAAAAAAATAATATAAAACCTTGTTAAGCCTTCATACGAACCTGTTTTGCCACTCAATCTGCCTTATTCAAATTTTCCTTACTCACTTCACATACATGCGTATGCCCGATACTTTAATCTGAATGAAAAATTTCCCATGCCCTGCAGATTCTCACAATATTTTCCCAAAAACATTCTGTATATTTAGCGCAACAAATGCCGGTGTCTCGTCAGTTTTATATGAGATATCGTCGGAATAGGTTCCTTGTAAAGCAGAGAAACCGAACAAAAACAAAGATTATCGCTAAAGTTAATATAAAGTAAACAAAGAATCAAAAAGATAATTCATACTCTTAGTTACTCACGTGAGATCAAAAAACGTAAATCTTTAGATTTTTCATAAAAGTTTCAGACGCGCAAAAGGGGAAAAGCTTATTCAGATTGTCTACGAGACAGTCGATCGATTGATATTTTTTGTAAAAAAATAAGTTTTACCTACATACATATATGTATTGTGGTCTTATCGGGACTTTCAAATGAAAAGTGAAAGTGCCAACCGAAAAAGGTTCTAACACAAAGCGTCGAACAAAAGTTATTTATCTAAGCCAGTAACTAAGTGAACAACTAAGTGCGCTTTAGCAAGCAAAATGATCTGATAGCAACTAAAAATAATTCTGATGGATAAACAGATAAAAGTTTAGAAATAAACAACAACAATACAATTACATACATACTTTAAATTAAATACATAAAGTGCGCACAGTAGTGCGTATTATCGGACGTAAAGTAAAAACAATTTCAATAACTAAAGTAAAGAGTGAGTGAAAAATTCGCTGTGAGCAAAAGGATTTGACATCTTTTGTCTGGGACCTGTATAAAAAAAGGGTATAAAAATATACAGGTAAGTAATTAATTCAAAAAATCAGCACACATACGTTTACTTTTACACAGAAAGGCCCTAGCTCATTACAAGCTTTTATTAAGTTTCAACTTTTCTTCTTCACTTTATTAAATTTTTTGTAATTATATGTTTTCTATCGAAATTCAGCTTTGAACAGCAAATGGTAGAATACTCTTTAAAGATCTACATATTCGAATTTAAAAACAACTACTACTTCAAATAATAAATTTTTGTTATTATTAAAAACCAGTATATGGACGAAACTGCAAAAAACTTAAAATGTTAGGTGATAGTCCTGTCAGGTTAGCTCAATTATAAAGGAAAAGCTTACAATAATCCCAGGTGTGCAAAAAATTTATTTAAGGTCAAAGGTGCCATAGATCGCTTTCTGCTTTTTTCAGCCAAACGGTAAGGTTCATCATAAAAATAGGAAAGTGGAAATCGTGCAGTTATCTATAAAACGGTTATGTACTGATTCCATATAAATAAAATTCATAACTTTGTATGGAAACTTTTTGTATGTATTTTTACTTAAGTGCTCATAACTTCTACTTTAATTATTCTATTTAGATAAGCATGGTCTTATTATATTTATAAAAGATCATGTTTTGATGTCCAAGAATCCGGAAGTTAACAAGTTCTTTCATGTTGATATTTGTATCAAAAGTAAATTTTATTTGGACTTATTTTTAGAATAATTCAAAATTTTATGTAAATCTTCTAAACTACTAATCCGGTTGCAAAGTGTTGTTTACATAGATTATAGCAAATTTAGTAAGCTTCGCTATCGTAAAAATCATTTTGAGATTAGCCAGCTGTACCCAAAAAAAGCAGTTAAGTGGGTGCACTCTTTTTGACTATATCTTAAAAACTGTTATATTTTCGTTTATTTTACCTATGTATTCGAATACAACTGAAAATTGTACATGAAAAATTATAGTCAAGTGCCACAGGTAGGATTTCTTGTAAACTCAATTAGATTAATAGTTTTCTCTAATTACTTCTAATTCACACCGCTTTAAATACTTCCAACGATGCTATTTTATTTCATACATTATTTAGTTAAACAATATACTGCCTCATGAGTGGAGTGGAAATTGTGCATGTTAAGTAGTACAAAATTTTTTAATCGCTATATCTCAGAAATTGTTTTTGTAGAAAATTGCATGACCTACACTTTTGTCTCACATATTTTATGATAAAAATTACCGTTTGGCTGAAAAATGCAAAAAATTCATATATATGATCTTTGACCATAAATAAATTTTTTTGCAGATGTGGGATCAAATTTCAGCTTTATGCGAATTATTGCAACCTTGAATGTCTAACTT